CTTCTCTTTGTGTTGGTTTTTTTTGTGCTCTCTGGTGAGTATGTGATTGTTGCTGGGAATCAACTATTTTTAGGGCTTCTTCATAGTCTTTTTTAGCTTTGTTAAATATGGTCTCATTGAAAGAATTGTCGGAAAGCTTGCAATTAATTGATTTTGGTATCTGTTTGATTATAGATGGCGGGTGATTGGAAGATGTGCATATATACAGTGGTTTATCATTGGGTTTTCTGTATGGTTTATATGTACCTTTTCTTAGGTTGAAGGTAACATCTAAAAAAATATACTTCATTTAGGTTAGTTTTTATGTCTATGTCGAATCCATTATTTTTGAAAATCTTTATTATTGCTTTTCTAGTTTTGTCTGTGGTTTGTTATAGTTTCTTAAGATTATGAGACCATCATCCCTGTAGAGTCCTGTATCATTTCTATCATTTTGCTTAGTCCATGTAGTAAATATTTACCTATGATTTCGCCAGGCACCGTCAAAGCTTCCCATTGTAGCATCAAAGATCTCTTCTTACTTTATCCATGTGTCTTTGAATAGCAGTGATTTATGGGAGTTTTTAATGATATCATTTCATTTGTGTTTATTTTTATTTGTTCCTGGGCTAAGGTGATGGCCTTATCTAGCATGGGTTCTGTTATAGACGGGTAGAATTCTTTTATGTCTAATTGTATAAATTGGCAGTTATGTTCATTTTTTATTCTGTGGAACCAGTCTGTAGTTGCTTTTGTGTTTTTCCACTGGTTTACTCCTAGCTTCTTCCTTAGTTCAGAATTAATTCTTTATTTTACCTAGTTCACTTTTGGTTGGGTTTATGAGTGTGCATCCTGGCTTGGTTTTAAAATTTTCTTTGTGGTCTTTTAGTGTGATAAAGGTTGCACCTTACTGATGCAACTTATTCGGTCATCTAGGTCTAATTTTTGAGCAATTGCTTTTGCTTCCTTATCATGCTCTATTGTTTTAGGTGCTTTTTTGTATCTTTTAGTTATTATGTCCTTGAGTAATTTATTGTGTGTAGGGGGAGCTTAGTTCATATAAATTTCTACTTTTGTCTGCTGCGATAAATACATTTGTTGAATTTTTTATTTTAGTTATATCTTCTTTTAGCTTTTTTTAAAATGCATCTTGTTTTTTTATGGAATTTCATGTTTCTAACTAGGTTAGTTAAGTCTTTCTCAAAATCGTCTAATTCTTTTTGTTGGGGGGGCATTTTTTGGTTTTAAAGCCGTATTTTTCCTTGAGTGTAATGTTATTGTGAAGATCCTGGTTTTAAAAAAAATGGGCTTTTCATCTTATTCTTTTTATGAAGCTTTCTATTTTTTTCAATTAATTTTAGCTTACATGTGAGGTGGGTATGTTTTTTAGGGAGTAGTTGAAGCTAAATTTTTCTATGTTCATAATGTGTTATAAATGTAGCAAAAGTTCTCAACTGCTTATCAGGAGCTAAATATGAAGAAATATAGTTTTAAGGTGTGCTATATTTATGGAATACAGTGCTCAATTTTTTTGAGATTAGTTCTGATCATTCATTGTTGTCACTTAAACCCACCACTTTGATCAAGCACTGTTTATTTTTATTTAATTTTACACTGAAAACTCATTTAAGTGAATTATCTTAAAAATAAAAATAATATTAGACTATTGTCAAGTGTTTAGAGATCGCTTAATTCTTGTATCTTTATTACACAAGCTAAATTCAAAACATGTATTTAATAATTCTGTCAAAAACTATATGGGTCAGAATCTTATACAAACTATTATTCACTAAGTTCATGGGAAAAATGTTTAATTTAGACAATTTCTCATGTCACAAGTTAGATATACAAAGTAGAGAAAACACACAAACATGCAACTGGCATTTTGTTCACATTAGGAAAAAAATCTAGTTGACCTTTTGCCATAATGGATTCTGTCAGCAGTTGTCCAGGACAGAAGCACTTAATCTTTCATAGCTCAAGGAGTTTCCCACATGCTTCATTTTGTGAACAAATTAACTGTTATGTGTTATTGGCAAGATAAAAATGGGCATATTAAAAGCAAAGATATTCATAACAAAAACAAGTAGGTAACAACAAATATATTACCATAAAATGGTAATACTGAAATGCAAAAACGATTAACAAAAAGAAAACCCAGCTAAACCAGTTTATCAGTGCTCTCTCATCAAAGCAAATATTAAGTACAGAAATGTGCACAGCAACTAAAAAAAATTCCAAAACAAGTTTTATATGAAAGAAAATATAACACTTACAGGTTTATGCTCACTCTTTAAGCTCACCAATAACTCCTTCTGCTTACAGAATGATGGCTGAGAGGACTTAATGTTTCAAGTAAAACTTGGAATTAGCCTAGCTCAGCACCGAGAACATGTCCAATCTATAAGACCAAATGTTCAGCTATCACTGAATCTGTTACATTTACACACTTATGCAAATTATCCACCTTGCCCTTGTAAATATTGGCTGGTACATGTTGATTGATCCATGCTTCCAACCTTTGACCTGTTCTCCCTACATAGTCAGAATTGCACTGACATCTAAAATGGTAAATGTTTTAGTTATTTATCATTTAGATAATTCTTTAAAAGTGATTTTCAGGTTAGCTTTCTTTAAAATATGAAACAAAAAACTACTCATTTCTATGATTTTAAGTCAAGCAAAAATGTCTTGTAATTAGTGACTTGTAGTGCAAAGATAGAATTTGCACTAAATTATAAGACTGGAATAACATTAAATTCTTTTAAACACTCCAGTAATTATAATACAATCAAAAGTACCATTAATTTTTCTGGAATTTTAATTTTAAGTGATATCCACATACAGTAATTAGTAATATACACTTATCTGTCTTTTGTACAGAAAATCTACTATTAACATTTTAGAATTTTTAACTTAAAACTTCCAAATTATATATTTGTTCTCATATTTCAGATGCAATTTATTAATAATTCTTTTAACAGCATTAATAGTCTCTGTAAGAGACTGAAGGAAACACAGGTTTGAATCCTGCCAAAGAACACATTTTTCTAATAAGATTGCTTGAATATTTAGACCAGTAGATGAAAATAAATATACTGTTTAATAAATAGAGAAACTACTCAAATATGGATATCAAATAAAACTAACATTTAAACAATAAATATATATATATATATATATATATATATATATATATATATATATATACACACAGAGTCCCCTCCAAGAGTATTGGCCAATTCCTTTGTTTTTGTTGTTCACTAAAGACATTTGGGTTTAAGATCAAAAGATGAATATGAGACAAGAGTCCAGAATTACAGGTTTTATTTCCTGGTATTTACACTGAAATGTGTTAAACAGCTTAGGATATACCACCTTTTGTAACATTACCCCATTTTTAGGTGATCAAAAGTAAAGGAACAGTTAGTATTAAAGTAAATAACATTTAATATTTGTTTGCATAACCTTTGCTTGCAATAACTGCATCAATCCTGTGACCCATTGACATCGCCAAACTGTTACATTCTTCATTTGTGATGCTTTTCCATACATTTAATGGATCCTCTTTCAGTTCTTGTTTGTTTCAGGAGGTGGGGGTCTTCTTTCAGTCTCCCTTTCAGGAGATGAAATGCATCCTCTATTGTGTTATGGTCTGGTGATTGACTTGACCACTTTTTTTTCCTGATGAAGTCCTTGTGTTGGCAAAATATGTTTTGAGTCATTGTCCTGCTGCATGATAATGATAAACTTCCTCCCAAAATGTTTGGATGCATTTCTCTGTAAATTGGCAGACAAAATGTTTCTGTATCCTTTTCAAGTTCATTTTGCTGCAACATCATGAGTTGTTATCAATAAATATCAATGAGCTTGTTCCAGAAGCAGCCATGCAAACTCAAGCCAAGACACTGCCTCCATCATGCTTCACAGATGAGCTTGCGTGCTTTGGATGATAAACAGATCCTTTCTTTCCCCATACTTTGGCCTTTCCATCACTTTTGGTAGAGATTAATCTTGGTTTTATCAGTCCATAAAACTTTCTTCTGGAACTTTTATTGCTCTTCTCTGTACTTCCTTGCAAATTGCAATCTGGCCTGATCAGTGGTTTGTATCTTGTGGATTGTGAAACCATTATCCCTGTACTGTGTAGATTGTTGTTGATGACCCTGACTGTTGTTTTGGGGTTTTTCCTTACAGCACTCACAATGTTACCATCATCAACTGCAGTTGTTTTCCTTGGCCAACATATTCTATGTCTGTTGTTCAGTACACCAGTAGTTTCTTTACATTTCAGGACATTCCAAATAGTTGTGTTGGCTATGCCTAATGTTTGTCCAATAGCTCTGATCGATTTTCCTTCTTTTTTCAGCTTCAAAATGGCTTGCTTTTCTCCTATAGACAGCTCTCTCATCTTCATTTTGGTCTATCCCTTTTAACAAGAAATACAGGGGAAACTCAAGACTAAAACCAAGACTAGTCATTCATAACTATTTAATGGTTAAACAATCAATCTAAAAGCAACAATAAACACCTACCAGTCATGTGTTCCAATAGTTTGACTCACTTGATAGATGTATGGCTTCAAACAAAAGGTGATATGCCCTAAGTTGTTTAATACATCTAAATGTAAATACTAGGAAATAAAAACTAAAATTCTGAACTCTTGTCTCATTCATATTTTGATCTTAAAGCCAAATGTCTTCGGTGAACAATAAAAACAAAGGCATTGATCTTGCCATTCCAATACTATTGATAATAAATAAATATTCTGTTTAATAAATAAAAAGAGCATCTACTAAAATTTGGGTATCCACTAAAAATAATATTTGTTATAAAATATGTTAGATTACTAAATGGAGAATCCATTCCTAAAACAGACCAATTTAAACAATGAAATCAGAAACTAAAGACAATCTCATTTTGGTAAATTTTACAACAGACATCCATAAAAGCAGAAAGAAAAAGAAAATGCTCTTTATAAATTTGATATCTGGTTTCAGGTTTCCAGTTCATTTACTTACAGTTGCATGCTTCTCCCCATTGTCATGGCGAACTGCAATCCATTGGTCAGAAACCATAGTTACTCGTGACCATGTCACCTGGTCTTGAGGTATGCCCAAATTTTCCAGCTGTTAAGAAGATGGAAAAATCAATGTTAATATTTAGAAGAAATTGCACAATAATTATATTTACATATCTTATTACTATAAATATTATTTTTAGTTATAGTAATAAGTAAAATTGGCTTAAAAATTCCATTTAAAAATTGAATAAATATATCTGTAAAAAGATTACACATTTAATACAACCCAGAATTGGATGTCTTTTTGTTAGTTCAAAAAAGCTAATGATTATCATTTCAAGGTATGGAAGCTTAAAAACAAATTAATAAAAGTTTTCTTTTCTTTATAGAAAGAAAAAGACTCAAACTTTTTTTTTCTACAGTCCCTACTGAAATCAAATCAAAATACTATCCCCAGCTCCTGTGGAGTGGGGTTAATGACATAAAATTAATATATCAATTTCTTGTTGGTTATGAAAATTTTGGTCAGGTGTGGGCTAATGACAAATACTTAATATTATTCCTTATACAAGTAATTTTTTTCTTTTTTCAAGCTTTTGACAGCATTAACCTCTTTAGGTAAAGTTGCAAAATCCAATAACTTGACTGATCTGGAACCAAACTAAAAAATTATACAAGACTGACCTTATAGGAGAAAGGTGGAAATGCTTTGATTTTAAAGGTGAAATTGCTATTAAAATTTGACCTTAAATACAAAATTAAGTTTCTAGTTGATGAGAAAGGAAACTTTATCTTTTTTTCTGTTTAGTCTTCCACACTTTAAGATTATGAATGATAGCTTTTTGTAAGGACTAATAAAAATTATCTGACCAAAATCAACCTACAAGTAAGAAATATATTAAATATTCTCCAAGGTAGATAAATTTTGAGATATTCTACAACTGCTGATTCAGTAGTTAGATCACCTAGAAGGTTTGATAGTTTGGATTGCATAACCTATCAAGTGTAACTAATCTAGAAGAAAGAAAATATCTTGGATGAAATTCCTCAAGAGTTCCTTAGGCCCATGTAAAAATTTGACTAAAGTTTATAAATTAAAATTCATTCTAACTCAACTATATAATAAATGCAAAAGTCAGTGTGTCAAACGTTTTCAATTAAAGGGACACAACTCTCTAACTTCCAATAGCTCATGTTACAGAAATTTTGGATTCGCAAGTTTTCATTACTGCGATTGTCTTTGGCAATTTTTTTTTTACGTGATTTCTTGTGACAAATGTTTTTGTACTATAAAAATTTTTATAACTTGGAAATAAATTTGGGAATAATTGAAATTAATTACAAAATCCAGTGAAAGTCATTCATGAAATAAAAATAATTGTTTGTATGGAAAGTAAGGAACTACGTACATCAAATTGTCTTTAAATTAAGTGGTGGCAGAAGAATTATTATTGTACTTTTAAAAGGTAAGCTTAAATATTAATGCAGTACTTAAATATAGCAATCAATTTTGAGTTTTTCTGCAGTTTATTGTTGTCTATCGCATACAGCACCAGTATGCCTCACAAAAAGAAATCTCTGCCAACAGAGGACCAGATTGCAATCAAAAGAGCCAAGACTGCAACAAGAAAAAATCCCATGCAAATGAAAACATAAATCAAATGGCAGCCAGGAGAGCTTCCAATGCTGAGAATATGCAAAGACTTAGGGACTCTCAAACTCCAGAACAAGCAGAAGGTCCAATCAAAAGCCTTCTGCAGGAGCTGGCTTAAATACTACCCGATAACAAGTTTAAAATATATGTGTAAATTTGCTGAAGAGAAAATGCAAAGGTGATTACTACCTATCTTTAATAAGTAAAAGTTTGTTTGTGTAAGAACTGAGAGTTTTATTTATTTTATACATATGAACACAAAGGTAAATCAAAAGTAAATAATAATAAAAAGTTAAGTGTTTTGCATTCTATTTCTAATAAAATTAATATATATTAATAATTGAAAAACAACAACCAACTTATAATGCATAGTTCTTAAACATTTTGATACTTACAGGACAGATTAAAGGTAAGAAAGACAAAGAAAAACAACGCATAACCTACCCAGTGAGCTTAAGGAAATGGATGGCAGAGTAAGCTTTAGGAGAGATAACAAAAAGACAAAATTTATTAAGAACTACAAAAGACAGGGAATTGTGGAGAGCCATGATCACCAACGTCCTGAAGGGACATGGCACATAGAAGATATTGGAAAAAATAAGTTGCATAATTTTCAAAATAAATATTTTTTTTGAATAAAGAATACCAAGTTTTTAAAAATGCAAGCAAAATAGAAAAAGTTAAGAACAGATACATCAGGAACAAAAAGAAAATTAATCTTATCATAAAATGTCACATTTCAATTATTATAATAAACACAATCAGTTAAAAATAGAGTTTACAGACCTGCTACATAAATATTCAAGGAATTTGACCAAAATTTAAAAAAAGTGTAGTCGATAGGTAAATAGGATTGTATCTATTTGCATTTATTTGATTGTATCTATATCTTATGTAGAAGAGATATAAAGTGTATAGTAAAGTAAGAAACAGGCAGAAGTTGACTACTGATTATGTGTCAACAGAACATTACTATACAACAAAAAGATTACTAACACCAAGTTTCCAAAGTATCCTTCAGTGTAGTCCCTTTGGACATGTATACAGCATCTCAATAGTAGTTACTAATGCATATTTACAAAACTTTCAGGTCACATTTCAGATTTGTCTGAAATATACACTCAAGTTTGGGTGGAAAAGAAGCTGTGTCCATGTAGTTTGATGCTCTAAGTGTTGAAATGCTTGCAGAAATTAAAAGTGATTTCACACAACTCAAAGACCTCCAGATAGAAACATAAAATCTACAGTCTGAGGTCACACATATTGAACAAATAATCCAACAATATTCACCTCAGAAACAGAGTAAGTATTGGCTTTTTCATGTTGTGAAGCTACTGTTATTTATGTATAAACTGTCTTTTTTTCAGTCGCACTAAAAAAAATTTAGTTTGCAGCACAAAACTATTATGATCTACTGCTTTATGAAACACACACCCAGCAGGATGTTTTCCCAACCACTACAATCTTGACCTTGTCAAGTCTAAGGCTAACCGTTATTTTTCCTGCATAACACTTATACAACACCACAGAGTAAACCTCTACCTTGAGTGGCTCTTGGATCTTGTATTGATTGAACATTAGTATTAAGAAAAAATCTTTTTTTCCCCCTTGTACTAGACTAAGCTAAGTTCTGTAAATCTTTCTAAAATTTAACTTAGAATCAGGAAAAAAAAAAAAAAAAAAAAACAGTATGTAAAAAGGTTGTTTTTCTCTTGACACCACCATTACCATACACTCCATCAGTAATTTTTAGTTTTACACAAGCTATTTTTAGAATTTTAATAAAACCAAATATATGAAAATTAAGTTTTTCCTCAATAATTTACAACAAAAAGGTGAAACAATATTTATTTATTCAATTGTTTATTTACAAGATTATTTCCATATAAGAATAATTTTCTATAACTATGAAAATAAATTTTTTATTCATAAAAATATAAAAATGTCTGAACTATAAAACAAGTAAATTTAAATAAACATCAGTAACTATAATTATAGATTTTGAAATAATGAGCACTTCTTTCATTTGTTCTCACCACAAAAATTTGCTTGAGAGAAATTAGCTTGAGAGAAAAAATGTATAAATTCAGTTTCAAGTCATAGTTTTAGAATTCTGAAAATTTTAAAACAATAAAAAGGAATATACAGTAATAATGGCATCAAAAGAAAAACATCCTTTTGACATGAGTTTTTTGTCTTGTCCTAAGTTAAATTTTGACTAAATCTCTTCACACAACTGTTTCCCCACTATAATCATTTTCAGATTAAATCTAAGAATTTCTGTATTAAGCACATCAGATTATTTAAGCTCAGCTCCAGTGGCATTTAGATAATTGTCTTGAGAGAGTATCTTAAACAGAATTTGTTTATATTTCAGTACCAAAATCTGTTTATACTATGTACATTGTTCAAACTGTTGTCTGCATCCTTTATTGTCATATTCACAACGTTTCAGCCGTTGTACGCTCCAGTCTTCTTCAGGTGATATACACTGGAATTTCAAAACAAAACCTTTATTTAGTCCACAGGAGTAGATTGTTCTAGTTCCATGAGTTATGCCTTTTCTGGATATCTCAGTTTCAGTTAATTCCCTTTAGTAACTCAAATCTCCAAGTTTGTGTTCACCTCTGCTGTGAACAGGTATTGAGCTTACAACTCTTTGGGTCAAGTCACTATTTGGATTACTTCAACCAACGTTTTTATCCACTTGGACACATGGCTCAGTGGATAAAAGCGAAAACATCATATGACAATAAAGATGAGGAGAACAGTCTGAAGAATGTACCCAGTGTAAATAGTTACAATACTTCATCTCAGAAATATAGACAGATACCAAAATCTGTATTTTAAAAATAAAATCTATGTACCATGTTAGGTTTGAATTTTCTCAACTGGAACTTTAAACAACAATCACAGATCATACTGTGAGCTTCATGACTTGTGCCTAATGATTTTAACCTATTTATATTAATTCAAACCAAATCAGGACACACCAAAAAAAAAAAAAAAAAAATATCATTGTAAACAAAAAAATTTATTGAGAAAACACAATAGATTTTATTCTGTATTCTCTGGAGCATTTTATATGTAAGCAATCTAATTTAATCAATGTATCCGAATTGTGAAATTTATTGTTTGTCTGAATTAACATGGATGTACTTGGCATGAAAAGTTAACATACATAGGGGGAGTAAGGATTGCTTTCTAAAGAAAGCTTGACACAAGCAGCAATTTGAATTCCCAACATAGAAAAATCAAAATATTCAAGCACACACACATGCTAATATTTATACTGTTGTAAATTTTACCAGTATAAAAATGAAGTGAATCTTTCAAGCCCCAAAATGTGTGTTGAGGGGTTCTCCCCTTTTTACACAAATGGACTCACCCAGTATATACATATACTACGGCTACGTGAAGATACAAGAGAGCAAGACCGAAGAGTCGAGTTG